AATCTCAGTACCATCCACCAACCTCTTCACAGGGGCGATTCTAGGATTTTCGGTTTAGGGGGGCTGAGCCCCCAGTGAGGGTATAATAATAATAATAGCCTAATAAAATACACACTTGTATAAACTGGATTTGACAAAGAACTGCACAGATGCAGATATTATAACAATCTATCGAGAAACACACACCGTGTCCTCGGTTTCTCGGTCTGCGGTTTGAAAAAGAACGTGCTGAAAGTTTTCAAGAAAGAGCCAAGTTTTCATATGAAATTTAAAGGGGACTGAGCCGATCACGAATTCGTGTACAGTTTATGGAGCTAATCGCAAAATCGTAAAAATGGCCTAACGATGCCCATGCCTCTTCATTCACATTTTCATGATTTTGGGAGGTTTCTGCCATTTTATTGATAGCAGGAAGTGTCTGGAGATCTCTGTATGACACGTCTGACTATAACTCACTAGTTAGTTTGCAGTCTACTGTACCTCAATCCCACTCAATCCTCTCCTCCACATCATGTCACTCACACCAGCAGAGCTGCACTCACTCCACTGATGGGGCAGTAAAGACAATGGCTGCCGTAGGAGCTTTTCCCACAAGTCTCCACGGTGTCTTAAATCCTCTCCCAACTCAATAGCAGGATGAGGACGGTGACGGATTACACCCCGTCCAGAGTAGACGAGGATCTCAGAGCCCACACATATTCTGAAGCAGATTCACTGCGGGTTCGACATCTCCATTTATTCTGTTGCATTTGGTCATTGTTTTATGGATGCACTGAGAGAAAGAAACATTCCCATATAAAGAGACCCAGCATGACCCCTCTCTGCAGTGAGTGCTCAGCACTCAACAGGCTGATTCCTGTGGGACGGATTCAGTGCGAGTTTGTTGAGAGGGATGTGGTTTGCCTCACTAGAGGAAGAAGATAAATAGCACCACACTTAGTAAGCACACATCTCAGTGCTCTACATCCATGCATTTTCATCTTCATGGTTAGATACTATTCATCATATTACAGTCAGCAAGGAACATTTTCATTTTTTCTATAGTGGTAATTGCCTTCCTTGAAGGTAAAATCAGTGAGTTTTTTCTCACTCGCAGTGATCCATGACTCGGCTGTCATACACTATACACCTAGACACAACATCTGAAAGTCCTGAAGCTGAACCATGAATACAAAATCATCTTCAGGAACCTCCATAATTCCCAACAGTACAAAATCTTGGAAGGCCATCCTGCTTCTGAACATTCCCTCAACCAATCAGATTGCGTTTGAGAGTTATTTGGTTTATTTGGTCATTTACTTGAGTATTGTACTTGAGTATCTGTACTTTACTTGAGTATTATTTTTCTGGAAACTTGCTACTTCAACTTCACTACATCTGAAAGACAAATATCGTACTTTTTACTCCGCTACATTTATATCAAAGTCGTTATATGTAGCCGTTTTTCCAGTGTGTGCATTTTCAGATTCACTGAACCCTTTTTTCTGCGAAAATCCGGCCTGCGATCTGCCAGGACCTTCCAGTGTTGCCAAGTCTTACAATATTTCTAAGCCTGCAGTTTTCCGCCTAGCTTTGAATGCATATTTGGCTGAATTTTTTTACGCAAATCTGGCAACCTCGGGACCTTCCCCGCTAAACTAATGTAAACGTCTGCGCTACTGCACAGCTAAAAGTGCTCTAAAAAGGCAAATAAGATAATAAAAGACGAAAAAGGCACATATTAGTGTGGTGTGATCATCTGTGTGCTCACCACATTGATTTTAAATAGACAACTGTATGTGATGCCTTACGTAGGCCGAGCGCTACGATCAAAGATCATAGAAGATAAATGATCGGCATACGGTAAATAAAAATTACCTACACCTTGATCTACATGACAGAGAAAATGTATATTTTTTTATTCTGTTATTAATTAAAAGTTCACACATTCAAAAAATAATAATTAACCATGTTTTTACTATAGTAACTAGTTTAACTATGGTATTTGCGGTAAAATCACAGTATCCACAAATTTACTATTCTCTCACTATAGTAACCATAATTATGCTATTTGTAGTAAAACTACAGTAACCACAAATTTAACATGGTTTCATTATAGTAACTATAGTTTAATATTTGTATTTAAACTATGGCAATATGGTAGGCTAATATATCCGTCAAAAATGGCTGCTATTACCATATATAAAAAAAAACTTACTACTCAGGCCTTTAAATAAAAAATAAAGTTGATTATCTTCATTCAGTTGTTCCATTTCTATAGGTTTGGTAACATAAAAGCTCTTAATTCCAAAGATAATACAAGCTAATCAGTGTATTCAGTAGGTTGCATTAGTGGCATAAGGTTTTGTAAGTATACAATGTGACAATAAAACAATGCATTTACTTTTTACTTTTTATACTTAAGTACTTTTAAAAGCATGTACTTACTTTTACTTAAGTAAAAACCTGTCTTTACAACTTTCACTTGTAGTGGGGTAGTATTTGACCAGTAGTATCTGTACTTTCACTCAAGTAATGCAGTTGTGTACTTTGTCCGCCTCGGTTTCTTAGTGAGTGAAGCAGATCAATTATTGCCATCAGCTGGATCAAGCTTTTTTTGCTGGATCAAGCTTTTTAGTGGTTAATAAGCTGAACTAATGCTGCGTTCAAGTCCTCCTGGGACGTTCGTACTTACGAGTTGACAAGTCGTAATTACGACGTCAGGTGCGTTCAAGTCAGTTTAGTCGGCACAAGATGGCAGTGTACCTTCTTTTAATAAATTACAAGAAAATACAACAGGGTCTGCATTTTTTTACTTGGATTTCAGCTGCGTAACAAGAACATGACCAATTTAAGTTTACAGGACAACTAAACTATCAATTTAAACAAAAATTTACCGTCAACTATACGATGCGTCCATCGATTCCACCATGTTTCTCATTGACACGCCCCCAACTCGGAAACTCGGGGCTTAAAGAAAATTTCGAGTTTCCCACTCGTAATAACGACTTTGTGGTGGCGTTCATGTGCATTCAACTCGTAAATACGATCTATCCGACATGACTTGAACGCACCATAACAGTCAGTGTGGCCAACCTGGTTAAAGCTGCAAGAACATCTTGGCTGGTAGTTCTAAAACACACCTTGGAATCATTAGCTAGGTTTCCATCCAAAGTTGCAAATTTAACTTATGTGCAAAATTGTAATAATCGCATAAACATTTGTGAATAAGCAACGTTTCCATCCAACAAGCAAAAGAGGAACAAAATCGTCACTTCCTGATAAACTGGCACAAAATATAACTAAGAAAAGAAGGAAAAGCCAATAATTTTCATACACAATAAATTACTTGCGCCTCAGAGCGAGCAGACAAAACACAATAAATGCGGTTATTGCTTTTGGAGATGAATACCTGCTGTTTGAGAACGCAGTCTTGTAAGACAGTTCTGGGAGACAGTTCTTATACAGAAATACTTTGATGATAGACTTTGCTCAGGCATTTCAGAATGACCATAACAACATGTCAGATGCTGTTTTAAGTATAAAACCACACAATCTGTCAGGTATCTGCCTGTATTTGAAGTGATGCTGGTGTCGGTTCATTCAGAGCCCCCCCAGGAACCCAAAGACTGGGGAAATTTGAAATATTTCATGACTGCAACATTCAGGCGTCTACCTTTGCTCTTGTGTCTGATGTAAAAGACTGGAGAAGACCTCTAGAAGCAGTTCATTGATTTCAGCCACACTTGAATTTCACACAGCATGCACAAGCAAAGCCCCGCGTCCCAGATGAGCTGTGTGTGTGTGTGTGTGTGTGTGTGTGTGTGTGTGTGTGTGTGAATGTGTGTGTTTGTGTGATATTTAATCTACCACAGAGAAAACGGCCCTGTGTTTGGAGTGAAGGATGGGGTGTATGGAGTCTGTGTTTAGTATTGATTGCTATAGCATGAAGTAAATTGTATCTCCCTCCTCTGTTTGTACTTCTTTCGATGATATATGTTGTGATCCAGTGGGCCGAAAAAAATTCCTCTCCACTACTGGAATGTGTGTGTGTGTATGTGTGTTTTAGCTGATCGCACTTCCACTCTGACTGCTAACCTACAGATGTTCCTGCAGCCTTATAGACTGAAATCTCAGTAAAAGGAAAAAAAATCACCACTGTAAATCACTTCCTGTTCATTCATCACACTGGAAATTGAAATTCAGGTCAAGTGCTTTGCATTGTAGGACACAGTATTCCATGCTGCTCTGGTTGTATACCATATTGCGGTCAATAAAGTAGTTATCCTTCACATATAGAAAACGCAAAAGTCAATAATATGCTAGTATGCTAATCTGAACATGCTAAAGTTTATGGTGGCATTATCAGTCATGAACAAAACAAAATGGCAAGCTATGCTGACAACGCCCGACGTTTTCACACGGTCACAATTATACTTGCTATAAATCAATTACACAAGTCCAAAATCAGAATTTCTAAGTGCAAACTTAAAAAAAGAAACTTGTCTGAAAGCTTGTTCACACTTGTCCTTAGAGGAAGCTGGAGATGTCACGTTTGCGAGCTGTGAAGCTGCCGTCCGCACACAGATGTGAGCATTGTCACAGTGGCAATAATCTCCAGGGTGTTTGGCAAAAAAAGGTGCTACAAGTGAAGGCAAAAGCCCAGAAGAGCGGTTCAACTGAAATAAGAGACCAAAGAACAGCGAAGCAATCACCCCACGTTTTTGCAAATTGAAACTTGTGCTCCGTGGCAGCGTCTTTATGTGAAACATATCATTTCCTATTTCTTCCTTTTTCATCTACTTGACATTTCGCATCAATTTGAAGCGAATGGGTCTATCTGCATTTGATTTGGGCTTTTCAGGTTAATTACTTTTTGAAGACGCCGACTCACAGTCTTAAAATATATTTGAATAATTGTGTTTCGCCAGGCCTGTCAGTGGCTGTCTTTGCTGAAAACGGCGAAGAATAATGTGTTTTGTATTTCTGAATTACCGAAGCGAGCTTTGTCACAGTGGCAATAATCTCCAGGGTGTTCGGCAAAAAAAGTTGCTACAAGTGAAGGCAAAAGCCCAGAACATCGGTTCAACTGAAATAAGAGACCAAAGAACAGCGAAGCAATAACCCCACGTTTTTGCAAATTGAAACTTGTGCTCCGTGGCAGCGTCTTTATGTGAAACATCTTATTTCCTATTTCTCCCTTTTTCATCTACTTGACATTTCGTACCAATTTGAAGCGAATGGGTCTGTCTGCATTTGATTTGGACTTTTCAGGTTAATTACTTTTTGAAAGCGCTGACTCACAGTCTTGAAAACATATTTGAATAATTGTGTTTCGCCAGGCCTGTCAGCGGCTGTCTTTGCTGAAAACGGCTAAGAATAATGTGTTTTGTATTTCTGATTTACTGAAGCTTAAAACTAGCATAGAAAAATTGATTAGAAAGGCTTAATTACAACAGACACGATCATGTTCGTGATAATAGCCATATTAGTCAAATAGCCATTAATAAGCCAAGTTTTGTATTTATACCAAGTTCTTCCAAGTATAAGAGTGCAACTAATGAAGTATATCATTTATTTTCAGTTTATTGAAACTGTTTCAGCTAAGCTCCACCCGCTTTGTTTGTTTAACATTCCATAGGATTGAATTGGAGGGCAACTTGTGTTCGTGAAGTGCTAAAAATATTATTTTTCAGAATAAAATCTTTTAAAAAGTTTTAAAGTCCATATCATGGCCACACCACCAATTCATTTTAAATAATTCAGGGGCCCTTGTCAATTATTCCTCACTTATGGTTCATCTCCCATTTATTTCTGATGTCCACAGGCTCCTGAATCTGTCCCTCACCTCTGACCTGGTGCCGACTCAGGAAGTGATCGATGTCATCATACATGTGGGCCGCAATCCGCTTGGAAGACATTTAGCGTGGAGATATTTCCGCGAGAAGTGGGACATATTGAATTCCAGGTGAATGTGGCTTTATTCATCTCTGTTTATCAGTGATTTTAATCTTCCTCTCTCAGTCCCTGATATGAATTTCACATTTGCACTTTCATAAGATATTTATTGGCGAATGTTATTTTGTCTTGTTTGTGTTTGGAGGACCGAGAGCATTATGGGAAATATCTGTTTGTGTTTATTTGCTTCTGGGCTCATTAGAGCGGTGCTCCAGTGTTTTTAATAACAGTGTCTCTCATTGGCAGGTATGGAGAGGCCTTATTTATGAACTCAAAATTAATCAGCGGCGTGACAGAGTTTCTCAACACTGAGGCCGAGTTGAATGAGGTGAGGCTGAACTTTTACATCATCCTGAGGCTAGAGGTACACCTCTTAATCATCGAATCTTCATGGAACATTAATACTTACAAACAAATTTTGGTCATCAAGTTATTGAGATGGAGAAAGTGAGAGAAAGTAAACTCTGAAGACTGCAGAATTGTGCTCTGGACCATTTCGTTGGGATATTTCCTCATTGTAGCTGCTTAACCTTATTCCAGGAAATGGAACGTATATTCACTTATTCAAATTCATTCAGCTTCAGTCCCAGAGGACACAGAGTGCTGATGCTTCTCACTGCAGCGCAGCACTTTCTCATCCAGCTGACTTCGCCTTCCACAATTTATCATTCATACAGAGATAATACGAACCCCCTCAGTGTTTTCTTAAACAGAGCATTAGCATACTGTCACTGACAATCAGCTGCTGCCAGAGCACTTCATCAACAGATTCACGAACAATCAATGTTGGTTTGAAACGAGCATTTTATTTTATTTTATAATTTCTCTGAACGAACAGCAATTTCGTAATAGTTCAGGAGCAAAAGAGCAGCTTTAATCCTGAATCCCTGGGCATGTTCATTCATGTAGTCCTCATGACCTCTGGAATTGGGAATTGTCTTCGTAACATGTTATTTGGTAAATTTAGATTTTAGATTAGATTTGTATGCCCGTAATTGATGTTAGAGTCTAGCTGTTTTTTTTTTTTGACATGCAGTGTCGTTTGCTCTCAGAAAAACAAAAACACTAATAATTCTGTTTACTTCAAATGCATTCCCACACCTCATTATCATAAACATCATTGTTATCTGCCAAATTACATGTCAGGAATTTGCATGTAAATGCATCGTATATTCTGACGATTTCACTGATGAAGGTGCCACTTACACGCATAAACACACAAACTCTCTGATACATCAGTCACAATACAATGACAATGTTAATGATAATGTTAATCATTTCTGTTGTTTATCTTCTTTTTCTCAGCTGAAAGAGTTCATCCTGATCAGCGGGGGAGAGTCGGCACCTGCGTTCGCTCGAGCCATTGAGATCGTTCAAGCGAATGTAAAATGGCACGTCCTGTTCCAGCAACAGTTTTACCGGTGGATGCGGAAAGCTCTCGACGGTTAGCCTCTATTAGCATGGAAACCCTATCAGACATTTCCAGGCCAGAGACGTGAGGACACTTGCGTGAAATTAAAAATAAAACATTTACGGACTCCGAGAAACAGCAAAATTTAACTATTTCCCTGCCGTTTCTGAAACTACCCCAGGCACTGACAGACCAAGACGAATTCGCAGAGAACAGCGCCGCCCTCCTGGCCAGCACAGTCACTGCACAATAGACAATATAAGGTGGAGGAAAAGGACAACTTGTAGAAAATGAATCGAAGAAATTGCATCACTCAATATAGTAACTGATGGAATGAAATTTGCACTTTTGATTTAACAGGAACCAGTTGAGTTTCATTTTACACTAGAACATACATGTAGATTGGCTTGATTAGACTGCTAAATAATTTTTAATGTGATTTGATCCTCTTTTTATCTAAATTTTATGCATAATATGAAATATAAATTCTTTTTAAAACAAGTTGTTTTTGAACATTTCCGTCTTTCCCCGATTCAGTCAAATTTAGGAGCTGTACATGTAGGTTTATTAACTACAAAAGAAAGAAAATGTCTATGAAGGGACTTTGTCTACATTCCCTCCCCAAAGACTGCTGCTGTTCTCAAATGGAACAGAAACGCTTTTCAAAGTTTAAATTTCAGTGATAAGCTGCTCTTTGCTTTCCTTGCACAGTCACACCATTTTATTGATTTATATTTTGTACGATATCAAATGAGGCCATATCTACCTTCATCAATCAGTTAAATAAAGGTAACTGCAGGTCATGAGAGGATCCAGAACAGGCCATTGCCATGTGTCTGTTATCATGGACAAACACATGCAGGCTTGTCTGATTATGGGTCGATGCTAATTAAGGAATTCTTAAAGGTGCCTATCTCTGTTGTCTTGGGTCAGTAGTGGATTGAAGATGGAGATTCTATAATATTGACACATTAATTATATAACTTGAAGGATATGCATATACATGTATGCTGGTTTATGTGTATATATTTATACAAAAAGTTAAATAACATATGGGTCAATGATGTGGCATTTTTTTTGTTTGTTTGCTTGGTTTTTTTTTTTTCAAGTTTTTTTTGGAATTAAAGGGATAGTTCATCCAAAAATAAAAATTATGTCATCATTTACTCACACTTATGTCGTCCCATATGCCTTTTATCTTTGGAATTTAAAATATATTTTTTATATATTCTAATGATTTTTGTCTTCTAAAGAGGTATGATTGCTTTATATGATAAACAGATTAATTTAAGCTTTTATTCCCATTTAACCATTGATCAACACAAATAAAGCTCATTGGTATGGTAGAAGCTCAACACAGAAGCTCAGCCGTGTGTTTGACGTGCAAGAACAAACCTTTTGGATGAACTATCCCTTAAAGTTATTTAAAAGTACTGTATATTGATGCAGTTTATACAGACAATGACCTAAAAATGCTTCTGTGATGACGGTGTTCAAATTCTGAATTAAAAAGAACTTTTATATTATTTTGTGAATATTAAAATAAAACCTGTCAGGGTGGTGTAACCATTAAAAAAAACCATTTTATTTTAAAATATTTGACATGATTATGTATAATTATTTCTTAAAAATTATATAATTATATAGTATAATTATTTATTCTTACTTTTTACTTTTGAATTACGTTTGTTCACCAAATCCAAATCACTGTGGTATAACCAGCATATAGCATTTTAGTCAAATTTGACCATTTTATGAAGGTTGTCAGATGTCAAATGGTATAACCTGAAATTATTTGGAATTAATGATGATGTCCATATTCCATTTATTTACTTGTTTTGATATATATATATATATATATATATATATATATAT